TATGTTTGGAAGAGCTATGTCTGTGGAGTGTGAAGGAGTGCAATTAGAACCTGATCATTACGGGGTGGAAACTTGGGACAGAAGGGACTTGGTGAGCAGAGCTGTCAGGAAAGAAAGCAGGTGAGGGCTGGCAGTGAGTTGTGGAATGGTTACTGAGAGAAGAAGATGTTTGCAGGAGTGCCTTAGACCGGGTCAGCCATGACAAGTAAAGGCTGTGAGGTCGGGGCTGTTCATGGGGGAGGTGGACAGCCTGGGGCATCCTGAGTCCAGAGCTCTTTGGGGAACTTCTGCTGCGTCTTGGCTGACAACTGCTGGGGGTTGAAGAAATTCTTCTCCAGAACAGACAGGAAGACATTCCATAGACCCCATAGAGGGATAAACCAGAGTATCTGTCAAATAGAGGAGCGGCCTGCGTGCTAGCAGAGGTCCTTGTCTAGACACATGAGGGGACTTAAGAAAAGAACACAGTATGCTGGAAGTTAAAATACTGGGTGAGTGTATATCCAGGACTTGCAGAAAAATAGGGAGGGGCTAAGTATCCTTTTAAGATTTGTGATCCCAGATGAAGTCTGATGGCACTGTTCAGTGCTCAAGATCATGTGTAGACATGGAGGGAGTTGGTTTCAGAAAGACGGGGACATTACTCAGACTGGCATGAAAGTTAGCAGTTAAGTGGCTGCATTGGAGCCTATATCAGGTGTGAGAGTGTGGTGACCCCAGGAGGGTTGATGAGCATGAGTTTTAGAGCAGTTTCTGTTGAGGACAGGGGCACTGTGGGAGCTGAGCTACAATGGGAAGTAGGAAAGGAGTCAAATGGTAGGACCAGAAGTGGTTAGGAGACTGGAGATGCTGTGAGCAGAGAAGACTCCATGGTGTTCTCCGGGCAAAATGCTGGGGTCGGGGTGTTTGTAGGCAAGGACAGTTTCAATCCTGATGGACAGAATGCTGGCAGACACAGGCTAGCCTTAGCCTCTCTCGTGTGGGACGCTGTGGCTGGGTTGCATGGATTACTCAACTGAATTGTGAGAGTGCTGTTGTGTGTCTTTCCTAGGGCTTAAGAACCCTTTATTACAGCAGATGGATTTGCAAAGGCCTCTTAGGCTTTTTATGAAAATTTCAGATCGACTGCAAAGGAACAAATGGACTCCCTAGGAACCCATCACTCAGGGCTTGAACCTGAGTACAACCTGTGCATGTTCTTGTTTCTGGTCACTCCCAGAACTAGTCTGTGATAACTGCTGATTATCAGTTGCTGTTGGTCTTAGCAGCCTGAACGTGTGTGCCTTTTTTTTTTTTTTTTTCCAAATAGAACAAAGCACAGAGCACTGTAGCCTTGAGCTCCCAGAGCCAGCTCCTTCTAAAGGCCATATACATCATCTCAGTTAGTAAAATGGATGCCAAACCATGCTGGGACCTGTATGCCAGGTCTGGTACTGAGGGAGGACATGTCTAAACCCCTTTCTTTTCATTTCATTTAACATGATCGCCTCACTCAGTTTCCCATCTTTGGAAAAACCATCATTTTCCCACACCTATTTCAAATGCCATCAGCCCCCAGCTGCTCTGCACACATCTTCCTGTAATCTTCTAAGAGTTATCTCCCAGGGTGCCATTCTGCTCACCTCACCTGGCTAGCCAGGCTGGGCAAGTTCAACTGCTGGGTTTCTAGTTTCAGGTTTCCTCAGCCAGTGGGGACAGCTGCGTGCCTGTGTGGAAGTCCTGACCTCGGCCTGTTCCACAGTGGTGGCTGAAGTTGGAGGCTGTGTGTGTGGCTGCAGCTTTCCAGGAACTTCACTGTGGTCCCCCTACCCAGGTGTCCATGTGTGGCACACAATTATAGCTTACCATCCTTGGCTTCCACTTCAGAGAACTGGCATCTAGTGTTGGCACCTACATTCTCCTGGTCCCTGCTCCACAGTGTGCTGCCTCCCCAGCTGCTGCTCTGTGGAGACCGCACACACTTGCTCTGCATTACTGGGTGGAAATTATGGGCCTGCGTGGAGAAATCCCTCAGAAAGTCAAGAGCTCACCTTTTTCAATCAGTAAAGTTAAACCTTCTGGTCAGCAGTGCATGTACCAGGGAATGTTAAAGGAAGCCATGTTTCCAATACCACTACCAGCCCTTCCTCCCCAGCCTGGCTCTGAACTTTTTTTAAAGTAGAGTCTGTCACTCAAGTTCTGCCTCAGGTTGGGTCTCATTTGGAGTATCTGTGCTTGCTCTGTTCTTTTCTCCTGGAACTCAGAGCTGGGGCGTGTGCAGTTGTGGAGGAGGAGCGTAGGTGTGGTAGCAGCCAACACAGCTGTGTGTGGCTTTGGGGCCTGACCGCCTCTGAGGGTGGTCTGCCATCAGCCCTTCCCCCGTCCCACCTGTTGTAATGTGTCCTACCCTCAGGGGCCCCTCAGTGCCACAGCCTGGAGCCTCTCTTCTTGGTGTCCTTTTCGGGCATTGAAGACTTAGTTCTTGACTTCTTGCCTCACGTGGGCACCAGTCCTCAGTTTCACCTGCAGTGTGAGGTCACTTTGAGCAGGCAGGCACACCAAGCAGGCCTTGCTGGGTATTGAAGATGAGGCTTATATAAGGCCAAGTCTTGAGCATTCTAGAAGCCATGTGCTTTTAACCCTTCAGAGTTCTGGAGCTCATGGCACATCACTGAGCCACGCCTTTGTCTCTAGAGATCCAACTTGTGGAGCTTTGTCTAGTATTTAGGCCTTTGGCTGGTTCCCTAGCACATTTTCTGGGGTTTCAGTTGCTTTTTTTGTTTTGTTTTGTTTTCCTAAAAAGTGTGCCTGGTGTTGGCTCAGAGGAAGGCCAGAGGCTGGCTTCCTTTGTCCTCTGTGGCCACCGTAGCCCTGCCTCTCGCAGCTCTTCTGAGATACTTACAGCTCATGTCCTGCGTACAGGCTCAACTGGAGACTTGAACCATATGGGGTTCATTTGGATCATAGCACCCCGGGTGACGGTGTGCCTGGCCCTCAGCCTTTTCTGCATTGGCCTGGCGGGGGGAGGGGGAGCTGTTTTCTTGGCACTTCAGCAAGACACACAGTATTCTTCCTCATCCTCTCCTGTACTCTGGATTCACTGGCTTGAAAGGCTTGTCCTTTGTGCTTTTTACTTTGCCTACTTTTCTTTTTCCTTGTTTTGTTTCTGAAGCACCGTATCACCTTGCCACTCCTGTGGACATCAGAGTGACCCAAGACTAGACATTGCTTTGTGTATGTATTATAGTGGCATTTCTTTGTAGGTACAGTACCCATGTGCCACCCAATAGCCTCTTTTAGCTGGTGGTTTATTTGTGTCAGGTTCCAAAGGAAGACCTGCTGTTGTATGGTAGTCCGGCTGTCTTTGATCCAGAGCCCCACCCCTGCACCCTTGGATTCTTGCCGCAAACAGGGTAACTGCCTCTACAGCCTGGCTCAGGTTTCTCTGCCTGCTCCCTGGCAACCTACCACAGAGAGAGTTCAGTTTGGCCTGGGACAGTGACCACTGCCTTATTGTCCTAACACTTTGACCCAGAGCAAGCTCTCTGTTGATGTTTTGGTCACCATATACCTTGTCTGTATTTGGAGCAACTGTTAAGTGTCATTTTAGGGGCTGTAGGAATGGCTCAGTGGTTAAGCACTCTTGTTGTTCTTCCTGAGGACAGTTCCCGGCACCCACATCAGATAGCTCTGAACCACCTATAACTCTTACCTTCAGAGGATCTGACACCTTTTTCTAACCTCCGTGGGCACACACACACACACACACACACACACACACACACACACGGCATGTACATACATTCATAAAAACAAAGTAGTCCTTTTTAAAAAGCTGCTGTTTTATGGAGGCTTTCTGAGGGTGTGGAGGAGGTGGCTCAGTGGGTAAAAGCAGATGCTGTGTAAGCACAAGGACTCAAGTTTGAGTCTGCAGAACCTTGGTAAAGCTGAGCACGGGCACAAGCATGTTAGTGTGTGTCTGTAATCCCAGCACTCCTGCAGTGAAATGGGGGGAGACAGGAGACTCCCTGACAGCACACAATAACAAAACAAGTGGGAAGGAAGGATCAGCTCTTGAGGAGTTTCTGACTTCCGTGTGTATGTGCTATGTCACATGTGTGTACACACACACATACACATGCAGCCTATTGATGCCATTTCATTCATTACTTGATGTATCACTGTATAAAATGTGTGAGATGAAAGGATTGCCAACATGGCCTCAGATACTCTCTGGTGAGTAATTGGGGGGTTTTTGCTTCTTCAGTCCCCTCCTCATCTTTCTATTTTTGTCCCCTGGGACTATCCACAGCCTAAAATAAGGCAATGGCAGATGTTTTCCTGTCTGTTCTCTAGAATGAGGCAGCCCCGGTGGGGTGGGAGTAGGGTCCTAAAAGACCATGGACATACTTAGCCAGAGCGTGGTAGTTAGCAACATGCCAAGTATCTCTCACAGTGCTTACATCCCAGTACAGGAGGGGTCAAAACCCAGGGAAACAAAATAATTACAAGTTATATGTGCTTTGACAAACCCAGCTGAGGTTAATGTTGACTCCTGCTGAGGGCCTCGTTTGCTCAGGGGAGTGGGAGCTGACACAGTGGGAGAGGGGGTCCAGCCCGGGAGCAGACGGAAAGGCCTTAAGGCAGGCTGCAGTTGGCTTATGTGGGAACTGAAGAGGAGAGCGAAGTACAGAGAGGACCAGGCAGGCCATGCAGGGCCCTAGTGCCAGGGTAAAGATCGGAAGCTATTTGCATGCCAGGAAGGCATTGAGGAGGGTTAGCCAGGCAATGTTTGATGCTGACATGCATCTTCTTTCTCACACGTGGGGTCAATCTTTCAAAGCAGAGGTGCTTTTTCTTATTCTTCAGGACAGCTAATCCTCGAACTTGCTTATGAGTCTTGAGAGGAGTTCTCTTCTGTCAGATTCTCTCCTTGATGTTCAGATAACTGATAAGCTGCTGTAATTGATCATGTACTTGGTCTAGAACAGGAGCATGATATCTTCAAATTCTCTTCTCAGACCTGCAAGTCCAAGAGACGTCCCTCTGGAAGATGAGCGAGCTGCCTCTTCAGGATCCAAAAAAAGGTGTGTGTGTGTGTGTGTGTGTGTGTGTGTGTGTGTGTGTGTGTGTGTGTGTGTGTGTGTGTATCCCCTGTTCCCCTGTGCCCCCTCTGTCCCATTTAAGTAATATTAATCCTGAGATCAATGGATGTTTCTGGGCAGAAAGGACATAGTATGTTGTCTATTGTTTGTATTACAGAAAACCAGCGTGCTACTGTATAGAGTTCCCAGGCTGGCTGTCCTTGGAGCAAGGAACCTTCATGCTGTCAAGAGCTGCCATCTGATGGGCAGGAGGCAGAGCGACATTCTGACTCTTCTGAGGGTGCTACCGGGACTCACCACCAGCTGGCACCTTCTGCCCTGGACAGACAGATCGCACTACACAGGCTTTGTTTTATGAGTGAGAAATCGAAGAGTACTGCACATCGGAGAGACTCCAGGGGCTCCGAACAAAGCTTGCTCATTCCTGCCCCTGGAATGTTGACCACAGGGGGTCTAAAGGAAAGAAAGCTCTGTGCTGGTGAGCTATGGGATTCTTATGAAAGCCAGTGCGACTGTGTAATCAGTAAGAACTCTGAGTGAGGAACACTATGCAGGAAGAAGCCTTCCACAGAAAGACAGGCAGGGAGAAGCTGGGGCTGACAGTAAGCTTGCCCAGTAGAGCGAGCCTGAGATAGACTGCCAAGATGGCAAAATAAGAGGCTTTATGAAGTAGCAGTCCTGGAACTCATAGTTGTAAGGACACTTTCTTCTCTAAGTCACAATACCAAATAGGAAAAATGATCTACAAGTGCCCCATGTGCAGGGAATTTTTCTCTGAGAGAGCAGATCTTTTTATGCATCAGAAAATCCACACAGCAGAGAAACCCCATAAATGTGACAAGTGTGATAAGGGTTTCTTTCACATATCAGAACTTCATATTCATTGGCGAGACCACACAGGAGAGAAGGTCTATAAATGTGATGATTGTGGTAAGGATTTTAGCACGACAACAAAACTGAATAGACATAAGAAAATCCACACTGTGGAAAAGCCCTATAAATGCTATGAGTGTGGCAAAGCCTTCAACTGGAGCTCCCATCTTCAAATCCACATGAGAGTCCACACTGGCGAGAAGCCGTATGTCTGCAGTGAGTGTGGGAGAGGCTTCAGTAATAGTTCTAACCTTTGTATGCACCAGCGAGTCCACACTGGGGAGAAGCCCTTCAAATGTGAAGAGTGTGGGAAAGCCTTCAGGCACACCTCCAGCCTCTGCATGCATCAAAGAGTCCACACTGGAGAGAAGCCCTATAAATGTTACGAGTGTGGGAAGGCCTTTAGTCAGAGCTCCAGCCTCTGCATCCACCAGAGAGTTCACACAGGGGAGAAGCCCTATAGGTGTTGTGGGTGTGGGAAGGCCTTCAGTCAGAGTTCTAGCCTCTGCATCCACCAGAGAGTGCACACAGGGGAGAAACCTTTTAAGTGTGATGAGTGTGGCAAGGCCTTTAGCCAGAGTACAAGTCTTTGCATCCACCAGAGAGTACACACCAAGGAGAGAAACCATCTCAAAATATCAGTTATATAAAGATGTTTTGCTAAGAATTAAAAATCTTAAACCCGTAAGTGCCACTAGGAAGGAAACCCCAAATCCACCTACATTGACCCCGGGAACATCTACAGCAGTTCCCAGAAGAACATTCTTTCTGAGGAGGTTTAGGTGAGGTTGTGTTTTTCTGAACTTGGAATTTCTTTGTATGTGCCCAAGATGGAGTATTGTGTCCCTGTCATGGGTACGTGTTTCCTGGGACTCTGGCAACATGCCTCAGCAGCTGAAAGAATCCTCAAAACTCACGAGTCTTGCTTAGCCTCTGAGTCACCTTCTATCTGTGCTGTGCTTCAAGGCAATGCCAGACACCCCCTTTTGGACCACACGCTCCTTCCTTTATTCAAGCCTACCTACCGGTCAGTGCATTTAAAGATGGACAGCTCCCTTGAAGGCCAAGTCCTGGTATTTCTGAGGTTGCCACTTGACTCAATTCTGACATAGCTTTCCACATATCCCATTATTTCTGAATCCACCTTACCTCGTGTCCTCAGAGTACCTATAAACACCTACCCCTTCCTAGATGGCATTAAATTTCATTTTAGATTTTAGGAAAGTCATAATATGCACTCACTCAGCCGATCAGGAAATCACTGGCAGATGTACATGCTCTGGAACTTTTCTTTAGTTTGTGGACTCTGCTAATCACTGTGTCTCTAAGTTAGACTTTTTTCCTAGTGGCTGCGTCACATGCTTTAACTTGAAATTTTTTTTAAGTAGCTGAATGTATATATCAGGGAGGAAGAAGCAAGCAAACTGAGCTTGTCTGCTTCAAGAGTGACCCTCTTGGGCTCCTTTTATAAATGGCGGGGTTCCCTACCAGCTGGGGAGGCCTTGGGAGGGCTGACTGGGGAGTCACTGAGGATGGATCTGTCATCTCAGGCAATAATGTGTAGATGTCATCATGGATCACATACAGTTCTTTTTAGGCATGAGTGTGTATTGCTGACCCATCCTCATTCATTCACTGAGTATTTATTGAACGCCTCCTGGGTGTCGGACATGTACTGGGTGCTGGGAATGCCACTGGATCATGAAATTCACCTCTGGAGGAAACGGGATAACAAGTTAACACATAAATAATGTAGTTTGCAGTAGTGATTAAGTGCTATGAGAAATAAACTAGGGTGGTATGTAGAGGGGGGTGGGGGGCCAGGTAGCAAGGGTCAGAAACTCTGCGCTGAAGGTGCTGGGGCCAGGTGAGGGAGCAGTGTGAGTACACAGCACAGGTGCTGCTGGCCCTGGGGACGAGATGCAGGTGTTGGAGGGAGTTTGGGGAGGGAGGCAGGCGCTGAGCCCTGAGCTTAGCACCTAGCATTTATGGGCCTCTTGTGTTTATTTTGTTTCTACTGACTGATGCTAAAACTCTCGGAGGAACTCGAGGGATGTTGAGAAGACCAAAAGTCCCCGGTGACACCGACACAAAGCTCCCATATCCGTTTCCTTCTCATTCCCGTTCTCGGTCTCCCACATGCAGTCATTTGCTCAGGAAGTCTTTGGGGAAACTAATGACCTGTAAGTCTGAAGTGGGTGACTGGCTTGGTGGCTTCTGCCAGCCATTTAAGGCTGGAGAAAGAACTTCCCAGATGGTCAGAAATACAAGACTGCTTGGTTTTTCTCTGCAGGTTTGTTTTTTTGTTTGTTTGTTTGTTTTGTTTTGCTTTTTAGGTGTTTGGCTGGAAGAGGCTGTTGTAAGACTGAAGCCTTGGTGTGTAGAGGAGGCTTGATCGGAGCACACAGTCAGTGGGTTGTGTTTGGGCATGAATCTGTTACCATGCATTTCAGTGCAGACGCCTGCAGGCAAGCCTCTGGCCCACTGGTCACTGCCTTCCCCCTCTCCAGAGGGCTATTGACTCACAAAGCCCCTTCCAGGCCTCACAGCCACCACAGCAATTTACTGTAGTGTCTTAACTCAATGTCACCACAGCGTGGAGCATTAGAGGAAAGCCTAGACTTTGAGTTGATAGAGAGCCAGTTGAAATATCATCGATAGAATCTTAGTTTTAGGAAGAATTGGTTTGATTTCTAGCTTTATTACTACTAGGTATATAAGCTTGGGCAAATCGCTTAATCTTCAGGTCTAGTTTTCTCACAGAATGAGGACACTGGACTAAATGATTTCCCAATTTCCAGCTAGTCCTAGAGTTCTATATTTCTACATAGTTGAATTATTTTATCATGCTGTTGCTGGGGAATACAACTAACACTTTTGAAGCTACTAATTTTATGTCAAGCTTTAAAGTCCATAATTGTTATCTTCAGAAAATATTATTTGACCTACAGTATGTCTAAATCAATTTAATAAAATCACTTTATAACAGGGCTCCATGTTTCCTGTGTGGTGTGTGAGTTCGGTAGTCCTGGGGCTTGGTATTGGCTGTCCTTGTGCCCTAGAATAGATTTTCATGCGAAATTTAATCTTAAAATGTTGGTAGCACTCATATTCTGTGCATGCCACGTCTGTCATCTGCCTAGACCCTTAGGCGGGTCTTCTGTGAGCCCGTTCTCGTCTGTTCTGACTGGTGCACACTTGGTTAAGAAGCAAGAACACATGCCTGAACCATTGTGAAGCAGCCACCAGCTCTGAGGAACAAGTCCACGTTCAGGTCCCTGAGATGGAAGTGACGGCTGCCCACTCGGAAGGGAACAGGGTTGGGAAGTGTGGTGGGGGGGGAGCTTGGACACAAGATCCTCAAGGAAGGACTGGAGTCTGTGAGCACCTAGTCTGCTCAGGGTGTACCTGGGGGGGGGAGGGGGACACCTCTTTGACTTGGGCCTTCACAGGTCCCATCTCTATAAAGGCCGTGCTTCTCTAGTATTTCCAACCACACGCAGCTGTCTGTCTGCACCATTGTCGTTCTCTTCAGACATTTGAAATGGTGGATAGGAGACAAGGATCAGAAGCAGATGGAAGAGTGCTCAGCCAAGTCAGCCTGGGGAGAGGTGAACAGCTGACAGCCCCACGGGGCAAGAGCTAAGCAGGAACAGGTGAGGCAGAGGGCCGGGCCAGGCTCAGGCCGTGCAACACGTGCCGACCGCCCGCGGTCCCTCCATTGCCTCCCTGTGGAACAGCAGAATTGCAACTAGCAAGGTCAGGGATGCTTAGTTGTGTAGTGATCGCTGATGTGAACAGGGCCTGGCTTTGATTCTTAGCACTCCAGAAAATTCTCCAGATACCCAACTCGCCTCATGATTAGTCTGTGTGGACACGCTGGTGACGATGTGACCGAAGTTTCCGTCTGGGCCCAGGTGGGTGAAACTTGCAATTCTTGTGTAGGTGAACTTATGCATTCCATTCTCTTTTTGTTGTTTTTCATTCTTCTCAGGACAGGGTTTCTTTGCATAACAGTCCTGGTTATCCTGGAACTTGCTTTATAGACAGGAGTGGCCTTGATCGGCCTGGGATTAAAGGCATGCGCCGCCTGGCTTTTCATTCCATTTTCATCTCTGCTCTGATATTTGTGTTTCCTGAATGATGCTTTGGGGAATGTGCTCCCTCTGAGTCCCATTTGGCCTCACCAAGTTCTCTTGGCCCTGGTCAAGGTCTGTCCTGAATCAGTGGGTGGTTCTGTTCTGAGAGACTGACAGTCTGGAACCTGTAGGGTGGCTTTTGGGCTCTCTGCAGAGTTTTGTGTCTGTTTTCTGGGGAAGGGTTCTGATGGATTTGGAACTAACAGACACCGGCTGAAGAAGCTTCTGATTGGGTCACAAGATCAATCCTAGCATAGACCTTAGATAGAGGGACACCTGACACCGTTCCACACAGTCATGGGTCCCTAAAACAACAGGAAATAGGACAGATACTGCAGTTTGGATTGTGAGTGTCCCCAAATGTGCTCATGGTAAAAGGCCTAGTCCCCAAAGGGCCAACCAAACCTTGAGACACGTAACTGAGCCAGAGTAACTCCTTTTGATTGCCTCGTGTATTTTTAGAGTAATGAGAAGCTGGGGGCTGGAGCGGTGGCTCAGCAGTTAGACCACATACTGTTCTTGAGGAGGACCCCAGTTTGGTTCCCAGCACCCACATCAGGTGGCTCACCACTGCCTGTAACTCCAAGTCCACAGGATCTGATGTCTGGTCTCTGTGGGCCTCTTCACTTGGATGCACCAACCCACACATGTATAATTCAGAAAAAAAACAAAAACACAAACATCCTAATTTCTCTTAAATACTAGGAAGCTGACTGACAGGATAAATGGGTGGGGGCAGGGCATGTGGTGCATTGGGAAGATAGGGAGGAGGGCTGTGGTAGAAATGAGAAGACACGTTGTGTTACACGAGACCACAGGTAAGCTGGCCACCGTCTCAGCGTGCCCAGGGGCGTGCGGGTCGCGATAGCTCAGGAAAGACCTGGCATGTGTGTGG